ATAGTGCTTGGGTGAGTCCTGTTCAAACAGTACCCAAGAAAGGGGGGATGACTGTGGTGAAAAATGAGAATAATGAATTGATTCCCACAAGGACAATCACTGGATGGAGAATGTGCATTGACTACCGGAGGCTGAACAAGGCAACAAGGAAGGATCATTTTCCACTTCCTTTCGTAGACTAGATGTTGGAAAGATTGGCAGGACATGCTTTCTACTTGGTAAATCTGCCTCCTTCAATACTGCTCAAAATAACCATGAACATCTTATCGAGCACCTCCGATTGGTACACATCTCCTCTGCCAATTCAAAACAAATGTCTAGCTACAAAGTTTCCCTTTATCCTAAATTTAAATATCTCACCTTGTGATGTATGCCATTTCGCCAAAGAATGAAGCTTCCTTATTGTTCAAGTTTAAAGAAAAGTAGTAGTACCTTTCAACTATTGCACATAGACATATGGGCCTCTATGCTGCTAGTTTTGTGAATGGTGCTAAGTATTCCCTTTCTATTGTAGATGATCTTTCAAGATACTGTTGGGTGCTATTTTTAAATTCTAAGGAGATGATAAAATTGCTAAGAGATTCATTTGGTATCACAAAAATTAGTTTCAAACAAATATAAGGATAATGCGTAGTACTGATGACGATCCAAAGTTTTCCATTATCGAATTCTATCAAACAAATGGTATTATGCACCAAACCATGTGTGTTGACACTCAGTAGCAAATCAGGTAGTTGAGAGGAAACACCAATATCTCATGACCATTGCATAAGCACTGATGTTCCAAGCAGGCTTACCACATCAATATTTATAACATCCCGGGCGCTGACGAGGGCGGGGAGTGATTGCCGGTGCGAAAGGGCATGGATAAGGAGCGACTCCTGACAGGCTTCCAGCGAGGGGTTACATGAATGAATCGAATCAACACCCGAAAGAAAGAGATTCCAAAGACTGTGCAGGTATGAGGCTGCACAGCTTGGGATAACTTATAAGATTAATTGGTACTACCTATACTAGCAAGATGCATTTACTTTTCAGTAGCCCATAACGAAAGAATTCTATAGTTAAGCGTGCTTGACTTGCAGTATTTCTGGGATGGGTGACCTCTTGGGAAGTTTTCCCAGGAAGTGTGCGAATGAGGAAAAAGCACACTGAAAAGTCTCGTGTTAGTATGTGGGGATAGTCATTGATTCTTAAAGCGACCGAGCGTTACAAGATCTATGCAGTTGTATATGCGATTCACAACATTAACATATTATGCAACACTTCAATACAAAATACAACTCCATATGAGTTTTTGTTTGCCAAGCCACCAACATTCACCTACCTCAAGACCTTTGGGTGCATCTGTTATGCTGTTTCAATGCATGCTCATCGAACTAAACTTTTTCCCATTTCACCTCACAGAAGTTTCATATCCTACATTAGACAAGTTTCTAAACTGTGACATCCATGACTATGACCTACCTACTACCTATCCTACCTATTTGATGTTCAATACATCTATTAACCCATAATCTGATTCACATCCTTTCCTTACTCCGTTAACCAACCTGTCAATGTTGGGTATAGCTCATACTTCGCATGCTGATGAAGACCCTACTTGTCGGTAGGGGTGTTAACGAGCCGAGCTTTGGTCTTAACGGGCCGAGCCTGTGTTCAAATGTGTCAGATTGGCCTTAGCCTGTTACCTGTTACGAATATAATATCAGCCTGTGGCCTGACTCATTTACAAAAAATAAAAGCCTTGTTTAGCCTGTTAGCCTGTTTAAAAAAAATAAGACAACAAAAATTTATCCAAACAAAATATACAATCAACAGCACTAGTAATTCCATAAATATTCATAATTTTAATGTATATCCAAATAGCATAATGTAAAACAAAATCATTTAAAAAGTCTGTTTAATTAATAAAATGGGATGAAATGAATTGAGAAGAGAGAGAGGGTTATCACAAGTAGTATAAAAAAATAAAAAAATAATATATTAGGCAAGCCTGAGAGGCTCTAAGGCCGAGCTTTTGAATTGGAGCCTGATGCCTTTTTATTAAACGAGCTTTTATACAAGTCCAAGCCTGAGTCCAACAATCAATTTTAGACATGTAAGCTCAGACCTTCACGAGCCGAGCCAAAGGCCCTTGTAAGGCCCCTGGCTCGTTTAGCACCCCTAGTTGTCGGGGTCAGCAGAAAGACAACTGGGGTCCCGCCCCCAGGTGAGCGGGCGGAGGTCTGGGGAGCAGCGCCCCCAGGCCCGTAAAGGCTAGGTACTATTATAGGCCTCTGATTTATTGTAATTTTCTTAGGAGTTTGGGCTTGGGCCCATAAATAGCTGTTGTTAGGGTTTTCTAATCCTATTTATATTTTCCTTGTAAAACGAGTGACTTGTAACGAGTGGCGGTGAGGAGAATATAGTACAAACAAGCTTGTTGAGATATATAGTCCCACATTGGTTGTATGTGCAACTAATGTAAAGTTTATAAGGCCTTGGACACTCCCACCCTTTGAGCTAGCTTTTGGGGTGATGTATCCCAAGGTTCTTTACATGATATCAGAGCCTCGCCGCCCTCCACTTTCTCTTGTGGCATTTCTTAGCACAGGTAGGTTGGGCCTGTTGCATTGTCCACTCTTCAAGCCCAATGAGCTCTTGTGTGAGGAGGGGGCGTGTTGAGATATATAGTCCCACATTGGTTGTATGTGCAACTAATGTGAAGTTTATAAGGCCTTGGGCACTCTCACCATTTGAGCTAACTTTTGGGGTGGTGTATCCCAAAATTCTTTACAAGTGGCGGTGAGGAGACCACCCAGGATAAATCATCGTGTTAATTCTCTACTCTTATCTTCTTCTTTTTTTTTTTTCTTTTTTCTCGATTCTGTGTGATTGTCGATTTCCAACGGTGAATTCGTTCCCAAGCCTACCTCTATTCGTCAATCATATGCCATGTCCATTCTTTCGCTATATTAAGGGGTCTCATGCCAAACGTAAGTTTTTTCTGGTTAATAACTCCTTCAACATCGCTCTCTGGTTTTACATTTTCCCTAACACCAAGTGCTCAATTTCTGATCACTGAGTTTTTTTAATTGGGGAGTTGTTTGATGATATCTTGACGCGCTAAGAAATAATCAACAATTTCTAGCCATGAAGATATACGAGTTACAGTGGATTAACTACCTCTTGTGTGATCTCCTTATTCCTCCTTCGAAATCAATCGGCCAATATGTTCTGTGACAATCAAACTGTGTTACTTAAGTTGTTGCCAAATCCTCTCTTGTGCTCAACCTATGTATATCTTCACCAAGGCCCTTCATCCTTCTCCCTTTTCCACTCTTATTTCCAAGCTGCTAGGCCTTTGTGATATCTATTGTCCTACTTCGGCTCCTATGTGCCAGCCAGAGGGAGGGAAGTTGGTGATGGAACTGGTGGGAGCTCATCTCGTTTGAGTTCAGGTCCCTTAAGCTCTCCACATCCCTATCTTGCAAAATTCCCATTTTTTCCCCTGAAGGTTGTTCTTCACTTTACGTTCGGGATTTTTCCCACAATAGTTAGAACGGTGGAGAGCCATTTTATCTACGATTCGGATCGCTGAAATGAAAAAAAAATCGTAGAATCTTGCGATATTGACAACATTGGTCTTAGGAGTTTTTGTGTTTTTGTGTTTCTGTATAATAGTTTGGTCAGTTAGACTAGCTTACGTGTACACACTTAGAACTCTCTTCTCTTTCTTTTTCTGTCTTGTCGGTGTACGAGTCTTGTTATATATGCATGTTGTACCATTATATTGATTCATAATGTGCAATAATGAAAATAGTATAGTTTTATAAGATTAATCGTACGTAATAAGATAGATTCTTTTTAAATCTAATCTAATCTAATATAATGTTGTTAATGGAATCAATATTAAGTTATTATTATGGGCTTTGCAGATTAGAAAAGTTCCAGCAAACACATAATTCTGATGGACTTTACCATAAACAAAATAAAAAATAAAAAAAATGTTGCACGTAAAACAAGGAGAAAAACAATTCTCCGAAGAAAGTGTTTTTCATATTATTATTTATGTAAATAATAAAAAAATTATTATTTTTCCTATTTTAAATAAAAATTTTAATTTGTCTAATATTAATCATTAGAGTTCATCTTATAAATAAAACTCTAATTTTATTGTTTTCTTTTACAACGAACTCAGTACACTTATCGTCAACCCTTCTCTTTTCCCGGACTTAAAACAAGCCATGCATGCAAAGCACATATAGATGGAGTTCCCCTTTATCTCTCTCTCTTTCTTTCTTTACCTCTCATTTTATTTTGTCTTTTATTTTTTTCCTTTATTTTCCTTTATTTTTTTCCTCTCAATCTTTCTTTTCTTATTTATTTATTTATCTATTTTTTATTTATTTAATTTTTATCCCTATATCTTTATTTTTATATTTTTTTACTTTCGTATTTTTTCCTCCTATTATGTATTTTTATTCTCACATTACTTTTCATTTTAATTGTTATTTGTTTAATGAATAATATTGTATATATTTTTAAAATTTTATTTTTATCTCTTTTTTGAATTTTTTTATTTGAATTCATTTGCCAAGCCCCAATTAATTTGGAATAAATGTTATTGATCTTGATATGTAATGCTAATAATTGTCGTTGTATTTGTACGACTAAGAAAAAGATAATGGTCACTTAACAAAATACTTTAACAAATGCGGAACACCTTTGGGTTATTCTCCACTGAATATACTTAAAATTTCTAAAAAATAACCTGTAAATGGAACACTAACCATAATTGCATGAAATTGCCATAAACAGACCTTTTCAGAACACGCTCCTTGCATCTACTGAACCATTAAACTATTATTAGATTTGGGCAAATGTCATAAATACTTCTTGACACTGATTGTGTCCATGATCCCTTTCAAGGGTATTTCGCATTAGTCCAGGTTTTGTTGCTCACAAGGAAAACCGAATAATTCTTTACTCAAGCTGCTTTTATAAGAGAACCCGAATATGCAATTGAACAGAACACACAAATTGGTAATCTCACTATAGATCTCTCGAATTGTGTACACATTGATGCATTGATATCCGTGGCTGAAGCCAAGGGGAGGATAGGGACGAGGGAAAAAAAAAAAAACCTTAATTCATTCACTAAATCATATCTATTTCAGCTTAACATTACAATAATGGAGCCAGAAACCAAGAATTGAATATCAACAGTGACTGCTACAAAACTTCTGTTAAATGACCGATCATGGCTGCACAATGCTCACAAATGATACATTACCTTGTATATCTACCAGACCAACCAAAGGCCTGAAAAAAACCAAAAGAGAAAATGGAATTCAGATTTCGTTGAAGTATATATATATATATATATATATATATATATATATATATATATATATATATATATAATGCTTACCACAACACAAATCATAGATAACGAATATCGCAACTGGGTAAGATTCAAGTAATTTCCACTCGACCGTTCATATTTATGAAACCAATTTACTTCAAGCTTTCTTGTCAGGACTTTTCTTATCCTCCGTAACAAACAACAAAACCCAGTCAAAAGTCACCTAACCTACTATATCGGTCAGTTGGACTTGGACGAACATTATTTTATTATCATTTACCACAAAAAAAATAACCAAGTTTAAAAACCCTCCCCTGATATATCGGCCAGTTGGCCTTATACAAATAACATTATTATAGTCGACTGTCAACCTACCTGGAGGAAAATATTTAGACATTCCAGTGTGCATGTCCCATAATTTTTATTCATTTTGATGAGTTTTCATTCGACCTTGTTTGTCTCACAATTTGTTGCAACGAATGTTAAATTAAAATGAGGCATACTATTCTTATAAGAGAGATTATATTATCATAGCAATAGAGCTGAACTATTTCATTTCAAAGTGAAACAACTCAAATTCAGCCATGCCACTGGCCCCCTATTCAAGGTTTAAATGATCAAGAAGATAACAAGGATTTATATGCATAAGCTACAAGTTAACAAAACAATAATATTACCTCAACTTAGTGTTACACGAAAACGCATAGAGTGAAGAAGGTTTAAATCACCCCCACATCCTGCAAAAGTATGTTAGCCTTCCCACGTAAACAATTGAGTTGCTACTTTACAATACAGTTTACTGAACAGCATCAGTCCCAAATCTTTGCACCAAGAATTCATCCAGCTGACCCCAGTTTGGGGTATCAGATTTACCCAAATCACCCGATGGCAATAATCGTATGCATTGAAGAATATGTTTGATGTCCCGATGTAGCCTGGCAAGTTGGGGAAATATTAAGAAACGAAAACAAAATCACTGCATTTTTATTAGAGTTTGAAAAATTTATAGTTCCACAGAATATATCTTTGGAGAGTAAGTACCTATTCTGTGCTTGAGAAGTGCTTATATCAAACCTTGAAAATGCTTCTGAAATTTGTGAGTGAAATATAACGACCACTTGCCTGAAAAATAACAAGTTTGAGTGAGCTGCAGGAATTCATTCAGTTAAGAGAGGAGGAAATGAAACACAACAAGTGAAATCAATGTGTTGGGCTACACAACAGAAGACTGAATTATGTAGGTGAAAAATAATAATTACCAAGATATTAAATACCCTAATTAACGTAAATACATGATTTGGTTAGCTTATTTAATGAATCTAGACATCACTAATATAATGAATCTAGACACCATTTACATTACCAACACTCTTCCTCAAGCTTGATGCATACACGTGATATGCAGCATGCTTGCTACATAGATCAACTTGATTGAGGACCTCTCAAAGTGTTGGTGAAGATATTTTCCGGTTGATCATTTGAGTGGACAAAATCAGTAGTGAACCCTGTAGATAATATTTTTTCTTTAATGAAGTGACAATCAATCCCAATACGTTTGGTCCTCTAGCGAAACACTGAATTGGAGGCAATGTGTAATGCAACCTGGTTATACAAACAAGTATATTTGCTTATCCTCTCCTAATTCGAGCTCTCTTTGCAAATGTTTTAGCCAAATAAATTCACAAGTGATTTAGACCATAGTTGTTACTCGGCTTTGGCACTTGATCATGCAACCATATCTTGTTTTACTTTTTTAAAATATCAGATTATGCCCAATGAATATACAGTACCACGATGTCAACCTTCTCTGAGTAAAGGAACTTATCCAATCAACAACTTGGTATCTAACAATGCGAGTGCCAACTTTATCTTCATAAACACAAGCCACGACCACTACTCATGGACAGTGAGGAATCAACCAGAAAAGGAGACATGTCAGGCTCCAAGGGCTGCTTGGATGGGATCCGAAGCAAGGAAAACCAAGCTATGCTAAGGATAGGGAGAATGGGTGAACCCAAAATCTAATCATGGTGGAAAAATGACTCGGAGGTAAATCACAGAGGGCCAACATCTAAAATGTAATCCGCTCAAATTCCCGTGTTACCGTTGTTGCAGGCAATAGCATATTGAAGTCATGGAGACGTGCATGAATATTCCCCAAATATGAAGACATAGGGCCATCAAAGCTCCAAGATGCAATAAAAGGGTAAACCTTAGTGCATAAGGATCCCCAACTCGCGAGAGTAGGGGAGCGGATCGATTGTATACAACCTTTCCCTTGCATTTGAGCAAAGCAGTTGTTTCTCATACTCGAACCCATGACTTTCAGGTCAAAAGTTGCAATGACACTTATAATGTTATGTTAAAATCCCATAAAGGCGCTAAGTATCATTGGTATAAAGGACGTTGACCTGTTGCCAAATAGACATGCAAGTGAGGTGAGCACAAAAGGTTTGTTCAACAAGGATAAATAGTGATTTAATGACATGGCAAAACTGGACATCAATCTTGGTCCGTCTAGGGCGGCTCAACAACAGGCATAATTCAACTTTGGTGGTGAGGTGGTCTATTTAGTGTTGCCTGTTAGGCCAAAGTTTAATATCCAATGCCCATGGGTTAGAAGAGAGAGGGACACTAACTAGCTGGTGAGAATAGGGTCCTCGTCCTTCATGGTGTCCTTGGAACCGTCTAAGGAAGCAAATTTGGCCATAGGTCACTCTAGGTAGGAGAGAAAAGAATTGAGCAAGTGGAACAAGGTGCCAGAAGAGTGCCAATAGAGACAATTCAAGGCACGGCTTTAAACAGTAGCCACGTGTCAACCCCCACAGCGAAAGCTACAACAGAACAAGGAAGGCACATAGCAAAAACATCGCGTGCAGCGGCTGTTGGATGAGAAAGCACCAAAGTTATGCTGGGATTGAAGAGTGGTCTAGATCCAAGGGCCATAGCCAGAAAAGTAATCAGTTGGTAGCATATGGTGGTCAAATCAATGACGGGCAGTCGCCGGAGTAGGTTTTCTAGGTTGCCATTGTCGCCAAAGTTGAAACACGATTTCCGAAAAGAAATTTTCATCGATTGGCAACTGGTCCACCACGTAGGCATGAATTAGGATTGCCCCTCGTCAAGCTCTAGAAATCATGTGAAGAGAAGAGGAAACAAAGGACATTTATTGAGATTCATTTGTTGGACTGTATAAATGGATACTAAATTATCTAGGTGAAAAATAATAATTACAAATATACTAGATACCTTAATTACTATGAATACATAATTTAGTTAGCCGATAGAATGATTCTAGACATCACCTGATATAATAAACCTAAAAACTATTTACATTTAACAACACATACCACATTAGCATTATAGAATTAGTTTTCTTTCTAAGCTGAGAGTAGCAGCCTCATAGAAAATAATATAAATCAAGGAAATTTGACTGGCCAATCTAGAGCAGTACTAGTAGTAGCTCAAGAAATGATTGAGAAGTTGCATGATACTCCCTTACAATCATCCCATATTCATTTTTATAAATATTTTATAATTCTCTCTGTATTAAGTAGTAGTAGTAGTATCTTGCTTTATGTGTATCTGTTGTAGATGATTTCTTTCCCTTACATCAGAGTTGTTAGTTTCAGGAGTTGTTAGTTTCAGGGGTTGTTAGTCTCTGTTATGATGTTTCTTTTCTGTTACATAGTGATTAGATTAGCTAACTCAGCATAGAGTTATATTCAGCTCTATAAATAGAGCTATGTAAACACTCCAATGTAACCATTCACTTCATTACACACTTAATAACAGAAATGATTTTCTCTCTCATTCTCTTCCTTTCTCTCATTTTGCTTCAATGGAGAAATTCTAATATGGTATCAGAGCCCTCACTTAGGGCTTGATCCATACAACGATCCTCATCCATTTCTTCCGCATCCAATACTGCAGTCAGTTCAGCTCAACAAAGCAAATCAAATTCTAGATCTACGATGGAACCTAAGAATCCTTCGTCACTCTTCAATTTCTAGATCTCTGCGAAACTGACAGAAGATAATTACCTGTTCTGGAATCAGACTATAGAGCCAGTTATCAAATCTCACCAATTGCAGCATTTCCTGGTGAATCCGAAGATCCCTCTCAAGTTCGAATCGGACGAAGATCGAGAGAACAACAACCTCAGATCTGAGTACTCTGAGTGGCTATTACAAGATCAGATGCTCCTAACATTGTTACTATCAACCATTTTTGAACAGGTAGTGAATGATATCCTTCCAGTTAAGCATTCGTTTGAAGCATGGGAGAACATGCACAAGCTCTTTAATGGCGTCACGAAATCGCGAGCCAGACAACTCAGATCTGAACTCAAGACGATGAAGAAAGGCACCAAACTATTGTTGCCTGATCTAGTGCAGAGGCCGAGTATCATACAATGGGAGTTGCTACCTACGAGCTAATCTGGTTAAAGCAGTTGATTTGGGAGCTTCATCTTTGTGAACAAAAATAGCTCATGACACTCATTTGTGACAATTAAGTTGCCCTACATATATCCTCTAATCTTGTATTTCATGAGAGAACCAAACATATAGGGATCGATTGTCATTTCATTCGAGAAAAGATTCAGTCAGGAGAAATCAAAACGACATTTGTCAACTCCAATGATCAACTCGCGGATGTCTCCACTAAAGCTCTTAGAGGTCCTCAGGTTGAATACATTTGTAACAAGCTAGGTGCTTACAATATATATGCACTAGCTTGAGAGGTAGTGTTAGAATAGTTCAGTGTATATAATAGAATTGTCCTACATCTTGTGGGCTTAGCCCATTAGATCTTTAAGTCTCTTTAAATAGAGAGCTCTTGTATATTGTAATACACCATTATTCAATATACAATTATTCTTTAATCTCAAGTCTTTCAATTTAGAAATGAAAAATTATCCCTCCCTTATTTTCCATCCAAACTCCATCCAAATATACCCTAAATGTTTATTTCATTAATAGTAAATTAGGGTCACACCCACTTTGTGATCATAAGTAAAAAGTGTAAATTACTTCATTTGACACCAGAAATCACACTTGTCAATAACAAAATACATACCAACAAATATCCACTCTCAAAGAATCATTTACACGGACGAATTGACAATTTTAAACCCCACAAAGCTACTAACAGTTATGGATATTATTGGTTTGCACTCAGTGATGTAAAATTCAAAAACTAGCTACGAAACTGGAACAGTGACCAAAATGCCATCTTTTGACAAAAATTTTATCCAAATCCCACGCAAACAGTACTTTTTACCAGACTGCCACGTAAGCATAATTCGCTATGACTGGTAACAAATTATGTTCGCCAATGATTTTTTGACACAGTACACTTTCGCAAGAAAAAGCTGACGTGTCATAATTCGCTACCAGTGGTAGCGAATTTGGTCTGCAAATATGACCACGTGTCACGAAATCATTGGCCACAAAATTCGCTACCAGTGGTAGCGAATTATGACACGTGGCAGTCTGGTAAAAAATACTGTTTGCGTGGCATTTGAGTAAAAAATTTGGCAAAACGTGGCATTTTGGTCACTGTTCCTATGAAACTTCTAAAACCTACTACGCTCTTCTTTTTCAGATCAACCAAGTTTCTTTAGGTTAGGCCTAGCAGAAACAAAATGATCAGTCACCTTCCATTATGGAGAAATAAATATAAAACATATCATATTTATAATACTTGAATATAAAATAATATGTTGTGTATTGATCTAATTCAGAGAGTTACAATATATAGAGACCCTAATGGGCTTAAATGAAAGGCCCAGACTTAATACAATCAGAATATTTACGGATAGGAAGTAATCTAATCATATCTAATCATATCTGTTAGAATATTAGATATGATATGATTAGATATGATTGGATTCTGTCTTAATCACTTCCGGTGATGATGATGTCATCAACATAGACTAACAAATAGATGCACTTGTTAGGAGATGTAATCCTATAGAATACATAATGGTCAACTTTACTGCGAATTAGGCCAAACGCCTGTACAGCAGAACTAAAGCGACTGAACCATGCTCGAGGAGACTGCTTGAGACCATATAAGGATTTTCGAAGACGACATACCTTCCCAGACTCCCCCTGAGC